TCTGGACTCCAGTGTCCAGAAGTGCTTCCTACATACTCCCTGTTTCCTCATGCGGAGTGTTAAAAGAACAGGTACTCAAGAGTCAAGATTTAATACAGTGCATTTGTACCACTTCGTTAAGGACATCCTTAAGTGAGACTGGCATTTGTTTCACGCTGAAAGTCTTCGGTAAGGAAGGACACAACGATTACTTGATCACTGGAGTTTACCTATCCAAACTGACAGCACGTGCTGGGCAGCAGATGTCGTCAAATGCTCTGAGAACAGCAGTTTTGCAGCTTATTTTACACATTAGAATCAGAGGAAGAGACATAAGGGGTTCCATGAAATCCATTGGTGAAAAGTTAGGGAGGTGGGAGAAAGCAAAGCAGGGGGAATTTGGGGGTTTGGATAAAGAGTAAAACAGATATAGACATACTTCTTTTACATTGGTGGGTCCAGGATAGTTAATAATTAACATTTTACAGCACTTGGAGATGGTGTGGGGAAGGGGGAAGCAAGATAACAGTGAGGGGTTCTGGGGTCTCCTGTTCTTGCAGGAAGTTGTGCCCTGAGGGGTCTGGAAAAGGAGCATTACTCTGACCTTCCAAAGGTCTGTTATCTTCGAGGCAAAAAGAGGATGGACAGGTTCAGTTAAAGTAAATGGTGACCTTTGTGAAGGCAACTACAGACATGACTACCCGCTGTGACTCACTTTCAGTTAGGAATTTTGATGTTCAGACCATCCTATGTGGTTACTTTCAGTCTCTGAGTTTGTAAGCCTGCCATTCTGACCTTTCCTGAGCTTTTGTCAGGTTTAGTGTGTGGCCCCTTTTTGTCCACAAAACAAATCAACAAACAGGTGTTGGAGAGGATGTGGAGAAAAGAGAACCCTAGTGCACTGTTGGTGGGAATGCAGACTGATGCAGCCACTGTGGAAAACAGTATGGAATTTCCTCAGAAAACTAAAAATGGAACTGCCTTTTGACCCAGCAATTCCACTTCTGGGATTATGCCCTAAGAGCCCTGAAACAGCAATCCAAAAGAACTTGTGCACCCCAATGTTCATATCAGTACAGTTTACAATAGCCAAATGCTGGAAGCATCCTAAGTACCCATCAATAAATGAGTGGATCAAAAAACTATGGTACATTTACACAATGGAATTCTATGCAGCAGAAAGAAAGAAGGAGCTCCTACCCTTTGTGACAGCATGGACGGAACTGGAGAGCATTATGCTAAGTGAAATAAACCAGGCAGTGAGGGACAAATACTATATGATCTCACCTTTAACTGGAACATAATCAACAAAAGGAAAAAGCAAACAAAATACAACCAGAGACATTGAAATTAAGAACAATCTAACAATAGCCAGAGGGGACAGGGGTGAAGACAGTGTGGGGAAGGGTTTTCAGGAACTACTACTATAAAGGACACAGATAAAACCAAGGGGGAGGGTGGAAGCAAGGGAGGAAGGTGGGTTTGGAGGGGGTCGGGGGGAGTGGAGGGGGAGAAATGCAGACAACTATAATTGAACAACAAGTAATTTAAAAAAATTAATAGTATTGCTTTTTTTTAGGTATGATAGTGGTGTTGCAGTTATGTTTTGTTTTATCTGTAAAAGGGAGTCATTATCTTTTAGGGAACCTACTGAAGTATCTGAATGAAATGATGCCCAGCAATTGCTTCAGAAAATGCAGTGAAATGGGAAGGAGTGGGGTGGTGGGGGTTGAGGTTACAGAAGATTGGCTGTGGTGTGGTTATTGTTCAGACTGGATGATGGGTACATACATATTTTTTTAATACTTTTTTTACTTTCGTGCCCTTTTTAGTTTGAAAATGTCCAATATTAAAAAAAAAAAAAAGAATCTAACAACAGTAATGTGGAAGGTTAGCAGGCCCATCTACTGAGCCAGTTTCTTCAAGTAGGGAAGTGACCTTGTCCTCAGTGCAGAGAGCATTCAGAATCAGGAAAAGGATGCCACTTAGGGAGACCCTGAGCAAAACAACTCTGAATCTCCTGGCACCTGTAAAACTGGGGTTTTGTGAAGAATGGGTGAGATAATGAATATGAAGTGCATATATGAAGACTGGCACATAGTAAATGCACTGTACATGTTAGTAGCCTCAGTGAAGGAGTCAGGTTTGTGTTTGTTTATACTCTGTCTGGGATCAGAAAGATGAGAGTCACAGGGTGGAAGGAAATGAAGTAGCATTGGGTTCAGTTGGATGTTTCCAATAAATGAGAAAATGTCCATGCAAGTTGTGTGGGAGTTTGGCATTTCCTTTTGACCATGGAACTTCCTTTTGTTTTGATTCCTTTGTCCTGATTCAGAGAGGCCACTGGTGGGAAATTTAGTTCAGAGTCACCTGCTTCAAGAGAGAAAAATGTTCATTTTTTAAGTCCGATGAGATCAGTGCAGTGACAGAAAAACCAAAACTCTTTTCTTCCTCTTGTGTTGATATGCAAAATGTAATAACTTAGAGAAATGGGACTGAAAGACAGCTAGCTAAAATAAGTGACTCATGACATTCGTTTCCAGGCTTTAACCTTTTGTATTTCTTTTCTTAGAAGCAAGAAAATACATCCCACACATGTGATTAGCTGATTGTATACCCAGGCATTTTTATCCTGGTGCATGATGATTACACTGGTGCCTGACTACAGTGTTACATAACTGTGTACACGAATTGGAGTCCAAAATAAGTTGTAAACACAGGAAAGTCCTTTCAACCATATTCTTTACTTAATTTTGCTTTTTTGGATAGGTACTTTTCCAAAATTCTGCACATTCTGTTGACACACATTGCAGAAGCCAAAAAGATGTGAAGAGGTGTATGTGCATCACAGTGCCTCACTCCCACCTGTGTCTTTGCCTGACCCCTTTCCCCCCAAGCTCACCCCCCAATAGGGCCCTACTCTCGCTAGCTTTTTGAGTGTCCTCCTAGTCCTATTTGCAAAAAGAAGCAAGTAGGACTACATTTACCCCTATCTCACGGCCTTCATCCTGGTGTTACCAGGTAGTACTCTAGGCACACCGCCTGCACCTGCTTTGCGTGACCCAGCAGTGCGCCCTGGAGGTCTTCCCGTGCCCGTCTCCTGTATGTGCGCACTGGGCTTGTCTCCAGTCTCGTCCTGTTGCAGATAACAGAGCAGTGATAACCTTGCATATGTCATATCATTTGTTTGCAAATTACATCTGTGGGATATATGCCTAGAAATGGAATTTCAGGATTATAAGGTAAATGAATTTTAATTTCGATAGACCTTAAAGGGGCACTGTATATTTCATAACAAATAGAAAAGTGCCTGGCATTCAGGAGTGGTTGACTCTTGTATGTGGTAAAATGCAGTAACTGAGGTTTAAATTCTTCATTTGTTTCTGATCAGATTGCTCTTTTTTTTTATTGTGTACCCAGGTGTTTTTATCTGTGCGTGTAATGACTAACTGGTGTTTGGATATAGTGTTATATAACTGCGTGCATGAATCAGAGTTTGAAATGAAGTGATAAAACACAAGGAAGGCCTTTAAATAACTGTATTTACTTAATTTTAAACTTTGTTAGAGTCCTCTGTTGGTTGTCTGTGGGTTGCTACAACATGTGATGGAATTATTTGTGCCCTTATGTCATGAGAATGGACAAAAGTGAAAATACACCTTTGGCCACGTAAATTATGGGCCATACTATATTTAGCACTGGAAAAGCATCTTCAAGCCCCTGAGAGCAGGGTACCGTGAGGCGCCTGTCTGGTAGTAGTTGTCACGTGAGCCAGGGACTGACCTCGGAGCGTGTCCCCACCAGGGAGAGGCACTGTTTCACCTTGCTCTGATCTTTCCACCCTGGAAATATGTACCATTTATTTGATTGGTGTTAATAATTGATGATTTTATAATATACTTTGAGAAAGGAGGGAAAGAGTTTGGCGGAGTAAAGTGTGTCTCATGAATCTGCTTCCATGGTTCCATGGAAACAGGTCTTTTATCTTGAGCATTGTGCTGTTAAAAAGACGCACAAAGAGAACCAGGAAGGGAGGGGCGCCCCGTTTAGCTACAATCTAGGCAGAGCACAGTGACTTGGAGTTTGAATGGGAAACACTGGGGCCTTGAAGAACTGACTCTTGCTCTGACATCACCTAATGGGATAATACTGCAGGAATAGGACAGGGATCAGGTCTGTGTTATAACGAGTTAGAGTTACTTTCCCTTTCAAATTACTTTTGTCCCAGGAGCCCCTTTATCTCTACATCGGAGGTTAGTATTGTATTTCCTCATTAGTCCACAGAGATGTTTACATATGTTCAAAATGAATCTGGGAGAGGAGTTATTTAAATAAACCGTATGTTAAGAAATAGGGAATCTATTTAGAACTGACTAGTGTTGGTATTTTTGACAGTTGAAAAGCAAAGATGTTTGAGAGCCTTTATTAAATACTGAGTATTCTTCCTAGTAAACCTGTAAGCAAATTGCTAACTTATGCAAGGGAAAAAAACAGGCAAGCGGGAAGGTAAGCAGTTTTTCCTTAGTATACATAACGTAAGCATCCAGATCTGCAGGCAGCTGTACAAAGCACCTGGGATTAGAAATAAATGCTAAACCACATTTAGAAGAGTGATCTCTTATTAGTCATTCCCTAGTTAAAGAGAGTTTACAAAAACACATGCTGTTTTCTTGCCTGAGGGCAAACCAGGGGGTGGTAGGTTCTGTGCACCCTCCCCAGCACTGCCTTAGTCCTGGCCATAGTGCACCTCTCTTGGCCCTGCCCGTTTTCTTCATCCTGCACAAGTGCCTGTTTGCAGAGCTGGAGCCCGTTGGCCTGTGACGTAGTAGTGCTGATGCTTCTCAGCATTGTGCTAAGCACTGGCGTGTTGTCTTCTTATTTTCCTTATAACCCGTGAGGTAGGCTATTAGTCCTTATTTTAGGTACAAAGTATCTTTCAAAAAATTGCTATTACTGTTACTAAGGCAAATGATGTACTAAAACATCTTGCATTAATTTTTCTCTTCCAAATCCCTCCCCAGCGTACTAGTAATGTTCGATCCACGTTTTTTAAGGACTGTTTATATGAAGTATTTGATAACTTGGAGTCAAAGATTGAAGACTCTGGAAAACAGCTGCTTCAGTCAGTTCTCCAACTGATGGAAAATGGAGCCCTGGTACTGACGACGAATTTTGACAATCTCCTGGAGCTGTACGCAGCCGATCAGGGGAAACAGCTGGAATCCCTTGACCTTACTGACGAAAAAAAGGTAAAAAGTAGAGCATTAGTCTGTGCTTCAGGCTAGTGGAGAAAACCTGCTTTCTGGTTAGTACTTGTGTGGTGCTGGACTTAGTTGGATTTTTTTTTTTTTTGAGAAGGCATACAAGAAAATTCACAGATCTTAAAAGTGTTCAATTCTCTGAGTTGTGACAATGTGACTCAATTTTAAAGCAAGAAGCAGGAAGTCATTAGAACTGTAACATCTCGTTAATACCTGATATTATCAGGCATGTATAATGTTGGCTTAGAATTTCCTCTTAGAATTTGTCCTTTATGCCAACTCCATCTGGAAATGAATGAAAACTACTTCGTGACTGTGGAAGACCAGCTTCCAGGTCAAATGAATGCCAGGTTGAAGTTAATGTTCACTGGAAACCTCAGAGGACTTTTTTAAGTTGTAGCCCAAACTATACCTAAGTCATCTATCATGTTGAATTATAGATGTCAATCTACGTTAACTAACGAGAGGAGACTTTATTAGAATGAGTTTGTAATTTGAAATCTAGTACTAGGAGATTCTGTGGCTACACCAACATGTTTTTAATTGGTGAGATACAGTGAAGCCATAAAAGGGAAAATATTTTTATTGCCATAAAAAGATATCAGAGACATAATGAGTAAAGAAGAAAACAAAACAAGTTATAAACCTCCACCAGGTCTCATTTGTCCTACTCTGTGGTTTTTGTAATTTTCCTTCTACAATTGGTTTTCCCTGGAGCCTGCCCATGTCCAGCCAGCTGAACAGAGTGTGACTAGCCCAGCTCTTCGCCCACTTGCTTCCACTGGCGCACGGTACTCCCTCTGCCAGCGGAGGCACTGTGATGCCACTCTTGTAACGTTGCTGAGTTGGAAGCCAGGTTTTGAAAAGGAAATCACAGTTCGAGAAGTGGTGCCCTGAAGACTGATTTTTCTCAGGCTGGAATGCTTTCCACCTGCTCCTCCCATGCTTGGATGGACGCTTCCTTCATCACCTGTGAAATCTCAAACAGCACCTCCTCTGAGCAGTCTTCTCTGACTGGACTGTGTAAAAAGGGACACACCCATCTGTTCTGTCGATTTGCTTCATAGCACTTACTGTAACTTTTTTTAATTTCATTTTTCAGTTAAAGTTTACATTCAGTACTCTTTGTATTAGTTTCAGATATACAGCATAGTGGTTAGACAGTCATGTACTTTACCAAGTGATCTCTCTGGTATTTCCAGTACCCACTTAGCACCACACATAGTCATTACCATATTATTGACTATATTCTCTATGCTGTACTTTACATCCCCTATACTTTTCATTGTTTTTTTTTTAAGATTTTATTTATTTATTTTTAGAGATAGGAGAAGGGAATGAGAAAGAGAGGGAGAGAAACATCAATGTGTGGTTGCCTCATACGTGCCCTCTACTGGCGACCTGGCCTACAACCCAGGCATGTGCCCCAACTGGGAATCAAACCAGCAACCTTTGGTTTGCAGGCCGGCACCCAGTCCACTGAGCCACCCCAGCCAGGGCTCACTGTTTATCTTGGTTTGTTTGTTTCCTGGCTGTTTACCCTTCTAGAATGGCAGCTCCATCTGGGCAGGTACCATGCCAGCCTTTCTTACACCCATGTCTGAGATACTGCGTAGGTGCTCAGTAAATATTTTTGATTTAATGATTGAATGGGCCCTGGCCAGGTAACTCAGTCAGTTAGAGCATAGTCTCAGTATACCCAGGTTGCAAGTTCAGTTCCTGTCAGGGTACATACCTAGGTTGTGGGTTCAGTCCCTGATCGGGGCATGTATGGGAGGCAGCCAGTTGACGTTTCTCACATCAGTGTTTCTCTCTTTCTCCCTCCCTTTCTCTCTCTCTAAAATTAATAAATAAAAAATTTTTAAATACATAATTGAATGAAAATCAGAAGTTAATGGCTAGAAACAGTGTATATACTGTTTCTGATATAATCTCTAAAGAAGCCTGCCCAGCATTAGAAGCATCAGGCCTTTTCAAAGTTAAGGATATCTATCAGACATGACATTTTCCTTCTTATTTCCATCCTGGAGCCTCATGATTTACTTTGTCATTTTAGTCCATGTTGGGGGCAGTGCTGAAGTCTTAATTGTTAAAGCCATTGCCTGGTAGTCAGGATGGGGCCTAACAATATTCAAATTTCAAATCCCTGGGCCTCTTGACTGTCCTTCCTAATTCATACCTTATTACTCCAGGATGTTATAAGAATAAATGTGTACTATCTTGAGTCATTGGGAAAACGGAACTGTGGAAGTGAGGTGGCTTTTGTCACTGTTGTCATTGGAATGATCAATCTGCATTGGTAGCCTTTTAGGTAACTCAGAGGTGACCGAAGTGATGTTTTTTCTGCTCATTAGTTGCTGCACAAGAAACCACCCTGAAATTTTGTGGCTTAACACACCATTTCATTTGCCAGTGACGACATGAATTAGTGATCCCAGCTGGGTTTAGCAAGCAGTTCTTTTGCTGGTTGTATGGTTGCCCCCATGGCTGCAATCACCTGGTGGCCAGGCCACAGCTGGCTGGGCAGTGCAAGATGACCTCGCTTCTGTTTCTGTCAGCGCAGGCCGTCGGCTGGGCCCTGCAGTTCCAGCTGGCTAGCCCAGGCTTCAACATATGGCAGCTGGGTTCCAAATGAGCAAAAGAAAAGTAAGACTCGCACCAACATTTTTTAAGCTTCCGCTTGTGTCATGTTGGTTGATGCCCCAGCTAAAGCAAGCCATGTGGCCAAGTAAGTGTGAAAAGGGACTGCACAAAAAGCTTGATACCTTGCGGATCATTTCTGAAACAGTCGTCCGTAACTCTCATGGGTGTCACTGAAGGAAAGAGCCCCTATGTTTCTGTGAAGATAACAGATGCATTCTAATTTTTGATTGTTACTTTCCAAGTAAAATCACCAGACTTGCTGCCATCAGTCCTAGAAGTCTTGCCTGACATGGGAGCTGAAGCCACATCAGGTTTTGCATTCTTGCTCTGTGATAGATTATGAAACTGGAGAGTATTGTGAGAAGCCTAGTCGTCTTGCCTGTCAGGACCCTGAAGCCACTGTTCAGCCCGCCACCTGGTTGAGCTGTATTTGTGTTGTGCAGGTCCTGGAGTGGGCGCAGGAGAAGCGGAAGCTGAGCGTGTTACACATCCATGGGGTCTACACCAACCCCAGTGGCATCGTCCTCCATCCCGCTGGGTATCAGAATGTGCTCAGGAACGCTGAGGTCATGGTGAGTGGTGCTGATGGTGCCGGTCTCGGGGGGGGCCTTCCTTGGAAATGCCTGGGTGTTCCATTGGTCTTCAAGGGGGTGACATTTTCTTTCCATTCGTTAAAAGTTGGAAGATCGAACATTCTTTCCTGTGCTCTTCAGCTTGCAGGTGTGCACGCCATCTTAGGAAACGTGCTCTTCAGGTATCGAGCTGTGGGGTTTTCCTTTGTTCTTGGTTGATAGCCAGCTGGTGGCACTTGGTCATTGTTGTCATCTTCACAAATGAAGAATACATTGTTATCACTATTTATTGTTTGGTTTATCATAGTATTAACAACCCTCTCTATGCCAATAATAATTTATGTAGCTTTTTATTGACCAGTCACTACTAGAACATAAATTCTAAAGTAATTTTGTGTAAGTGATGATGGGTTTGTATTGAATTACCACACTTATTCAAACTTACTCCTCAGTGATAAAGGGAGGTTTTCTTCTTTGTGAAAAAAGATCTTTGTTATTTTTAGAGATGGAAGTTTTAGACTTGCTCACACCTAATATCTTCAAACCAGAAACACTCCCACGCCAGTGATACATGGGAGCAAGCCATTAGCCCCCAACTCTGAAGCCAGCATATACCAGCGATTTCAAAACTGGTCACTTAGGGTGATTGCATCTACATGATGTGGCAAAAAGAAAGACCATAAGAGAGCATAAGAACCTTTTTTTCCCCACACACTGTTTCCTTGACATCTGTTAGAACTGCATTCATTGCTGACATTGAGTGATCCCTTAAGCAGAATAATTTCTAATATATATATTTACATGTGTGTGTACAGATGTGTACACACACACAGATTCATGTTGGTGTTCTCAGTATCTGACTTCCTTAGAGAACATCTGGAGATGCAATTATCCTCACTGGTGGTCCGTGGTTCAGTTTCTAAGGCAAATGCGGCCCAGAAAATGGAAAGAGTAAGATATATTGAAGACCCACTTCATAGCCTTATGGCCTCTGGGCACATCGATCTACAAAGTCAACTGCAAGTCAGTAGATCGATCAGTGCCAACCTGGAGAAATCCTGAATAGAGAGCCTGCAGGAGAATGCCAGGTAAAGATAAATTATAGACCAGTCATCAAGGTACAGTAATAAACAATAAGATCAGATTTGGGGAGTTTTCTCTTAAGTCTTGGTTTAATAGGGACCGCAGTCTGATAAAGGTAGCAGTTTCAATGGCCCAGTTCACTTCTTTATTTCAGACAGGCCTGCATGTGTCTTCATGGTGTTGTTAATATGTTGTTTCTTTCCCTGCAAGAGAGAGATTCAGAAACTCTATGAGAACAAGTCATTTCTCTTCCTGGGCTGTGGCCAGACCGTGGATGACACCACTTTCCAAGCCCTGTTTCTGGAGGCCGTCAAGCATAAATCTGACTTGGAACATTTCATGCTGGTTCGGAAAGGAGATGTAGATGAGTTCAAGAAGCTTCGAGAAAACATGCTGGACAAAGGGATTAAGGTCATCTCGTATGGCAATGAGTATGCTGATCTTCCAGAATACTTCAAGCAGCTCACCTGCGAGATCTCCACAAGGGGCAGATCAGGTGAGATGCACCCCGGGGCCAGAGGGATCTAGAGCAGCAGCTCTGTGGCTTTGTGTGGAAGTGTTCTGGGTGAGATCGTTCCCAGGTGAGGAGTATCATCCTGACCCAAGTGTGAAGTGAGATCGTACATGGTCTGCAGGCTACACTTACAGTGGCATTTGGATAGGAGGAACATGGACCAAGGCAAATCCAGTCTAGAAGTGGGAAGAACGAAAAAATTCAGCCTTGTTAGTTATCAGTGAGATGCAGTTAGAATTTAGATTTCAAAATAGAAAAGAATGACAACTCAATTTTGGCTGTGAGAAATGAAACATTCATGTTGGAGTATGTTCAAAATTTTAAAACCTTTGACTTAGAAATTCCACCTGATACAATTAATATTAGAAGTTTCTCCCAAAGAGATGATTGGACAATTGCACAAAGACAGATGTGGGAATGTTACCATGTTGTATATAATTGAAAATATTGGATGCAATCTAAAATGTTTCACTTAATAGGGAACTCTGTAAATACTCCCAACAGTTATTTAATTGATAAAATACAAGGAAGCTATAAAAGGGAAAATGATTTTATTGTCCAAAAAGATTTCAGAGACATAATATTGTAAGTGAAGTGGGGAAAAAGCAGATTGGAAAACACCATGGCCAGCAAGTCCCATTCATACAGAATTATACACTGTGTGTGTGTGTGTGTGTGTGTGTGTGTGTGAGAGAGAGAGAGAGAGAGAGAGAGAGAAAGGTCTGCAGTGATGGTTACTAAACTAACTGGTCATCTTTATGCTGTGGGACTTAAGGGTTTTTAAAAAATATTTTGTTTCTAGGTTAGCATTTTCTATTGTACAGTGATTATGCATTAGCTTTATAAAAATGGGAAAATGCACACTTTAAAATGCTCTTTGGAAACTGTTATGATGGTGTTAAAATCAGAGGGTGAGGGCCACTCACTGGACGTATTACCTCCGAGTTCTAACAAGAAAGGCAAATTGAGATGAAAGGCTCAGTTGATCAATGTCTCCAGGCAAGTCCCCAGTAACCCTACAAAATACAGAACTTCATGGTATCAACAAAATTGAAGAATATTTTTTAAAACCTTGAATACTTTGAATAAAGCCAGGCCCCAGGATATGACTGTGTTGACCACCCAATTCCCAACAAACTTTGCTGCTGTACGTAGAATATGTTCTTGAAAAGTTTATATTAACGTGGGTTTTCATCGACAATCTGAACGCATTTTAGAGGGCCTCGTAAAGTACATATAACTTAATAGAGAACTTTTCCTAAATCTCATAATCATTCCCAGGTCTTTTTCCTGAATCAGGTCACTTGCAGTGGGACTGTGGAATGAGAAATTCCACAAGCTCTCATCGCCATAACCAAACACTGAAGCCCATTCTGCCCTTTCTCCAGAAGATAAGCCTTTTGGTTTCTCTTTTGTGAGCACGGTTTGCAGCTCCTTCCGGGAGTGCTTTCTGCTGTCCTGCAGTGTTTGATTCTTTTGCTCTTTACCCAGCACTTACGACTTTCAGTAGGGTTTTCCTACCGAACACACCCTGTTTTCATTACACGGGTACCCACCCACACCGGTGTATTTCTTTTGATCTCCATTCTGGTATCTTGTACCCAAGGAAGATGCCACAATTGAAAATAAACTTCCTCTGGACAGCTGTTCTATTACACTCAACCTTTTCCTGACAAAGTTCATCCGAAGTGGTACAGATGCTTTTTTTTTTTTTTAAAGCTGTGTAGGCTACTAGAGTGGCTTTCCTGACCTAGCACTGGTTGGGCATTGGGAATTTTGAAAAATCAAGGATTCTCAGTATGGCCAGGGGCTTTATTAGAATGGTCAGCTGAGTTAGTTTTGATTTGGAATCTCACAGAGCAGTTTGGGGTTAAAAACATTATTTCCTTTTGAGACAAGCCAGTCTTACCTGCTGTCCTGAGTTATGTTTGGAATGTCTGTGGATGCGTACTGGTAAGGGGAGTTGTGTTGTTTTGTTTGATGCTGAGCACTTGCTGTGTGCCTGGCGTCATGCTGGTCACTCACGTTTGCATAGTGAAAATTACTTGGGTTCAGAAGAGGGTAAGATCTTGTACATTTATTTTGGAAAAATTGAGTAAGGAGGAAAAGAAAAATCATTCTTTTATCATTCATTACCATCATACAAGCAGCTATTTTGGTATATTTCCAATTAACAGTTTTTCCTATGCATTTATTCACCAGTGTAAACAAAGTACACTTACAGTCTGGGTACTTGTTTATTCAATGGAACATCATAAGATTTCCTGCAAGGGCTGCAGGTTTTGTTGCTGGTTCAAGGTCCCTGTGCCCTGCACTTCAAAGGCTAGTAATCAGAAACGTCAGAGTTTGGAGTAAGGAAAGGGTTATTGGTTGAGAAGGTGGGGGTAGGGGGATCTTATGGCTTCGGCAAATCCATTTTAAGAGAGCCTGGAATTCAAGCATCTGCTATGTCCAGGGAAAGGAGAAGGGGGTGAGGCAAGAGGTGGGTGAGGAGCCTAGACAGCTCGGCACCAAGAGGGATTCGAGGACAAGCACAAGATCTCCAGATCTCTTTGTTCCTGGTGGGTCTGTAGAACACCACCTCCCCCCTTGTCATCTGAGTCCAGTCTTGAGGCTCCTGTAAAGCTTTGGTAAACAGTCATTATTTTGTACATAGTTCCTTACCTCTTTGGGCAAGGTGCCTTCTGACAAGGGGCTGTTCTTGCAAAAGCTCAAGCCTCGTGTAATTCCTCCAGTTAATTAGCAGATCTAGAGCTGGAGGTGTACGCTGAAGGCCATGGAGAAATGCAAGCTAGAATGAAAATAGGAAAGTGAGCATTTCACTGTGACATTTTCATAACCACTATTTTTAATGACTGTCACAGTCCACTGTGGCTATTAGTTTACCTGATTATTTACCTGTTAGTCAAGTTTTAATTTTTTCTGGGTTTTTTAATTATAAAACCTGGTGCAGTGAATGTTATTTTTACCCATAGTTTTTCCTTTGCCAGTAATTTCCTTAGAATAAGTTCTCAGTGTAATTACTAGGTCAAAAGGCATGGACATTTTAGGGGCTAATATTGCCATCATGCTTTCCAAGAGGGAAATTGCAATTTGGTAAGTTTGTGTGCTTTTATTTGTGCTCTGATGGGCCCCATCCTTCCCTTCCGTGTGTTCAGTCCTGTACTTTTCCCCACACCATGATCTGTTCCCATGCCAGCTAACAGAATTCCCTGCAGTGACAGAAATATCCTGTCATTTTTGCTGTGTAGTACTAGAACCATGTCACATGTGGCCGTTGACCGTTTAAAATGTGATGAGTATGACAGAGGAACAGACTTTTTAACTTAATGTACAAGTCAGCCACACCGGGCTGATGGCACGGTGTTAGCACAGATCTGCCCCGCCTCCCGTCGTGGTGGAGTGTCTGCCACTCCACACTCTTCTGTTGGTTGAATTCACTCACTTGCATGCTGCTCCCCTCCTTGGTCAGACTGAATTTTCCCCCTAAACTCGGCCTCCTAGACTAGGTTGGGACGGCAGACACACTTGGCCCCCGGAAGCATTTTGTGTACAGGCAATGTCAGTGCACTTGGACCTTACCGTTCCCGTTGCTTCATACGGCCGTTTGAAGTCTGAGTGAGTTTGTTCTCCCCACCTGTCCTCGCCTCTGGAACGTGCTCCTTACTAAACAAGGCTGTCCCTTGTGGTTAGAACATGTGCTTCCATCTCCCTTTGGTTGGTTGGTTTTCTTTCCGCTATAGTTTTGGCTTTTTCAGTCTAACAGCTGATACTGATGTTCATTCTATTTAGCAGGGACGGCGAGAGAAGGTCAGCTAAATGGTTCGTCCGCAGCACACAGTGAAGTAAGAGGTATACGACTTCCTGTTCTATCTACTCTCTGCCAGTTTGTGAGCAGAAAATGTGGTCCTCGGACTGAGTTAAGACCTTGGAGGAGGACGACTGACTTAACCTCCTTAACCTCTCACTGCCTGGAGAGGATTGTTTTTTTATCGTCTGTTACAAGACTCCTGTTATCCCTTATGTCTTGTGTCCGAAGCTGGTTACCTTTGGATGTGTAAACCTGTTTTGTGGAACTTCCTTTTTATTCTCAACCTTTTCTCTCCCCACAGACCGTAGCACATGAGAGGGCTCCAGAAGTCACCGCCGTTAGACCAAGCTCAGAGGCCCTGTCATGGACAGTGTTTAACAGTAAACTTACAAGAACCCAGTACAGCTCCTGGAAGAAGCAAATCCCAGGAATTGAAGGCTGGGGCTTTGGACTGTAAGCGGGGAGAGGACATTCCAACAGCCCTTCCTGCAGCCAGTTCTTGGGCTGTTTTGTCCCCCCCCAGTTCTTGGCCTCATATGGCCTGTTCCAGTTTGAGAATACCCGAGTGTCAGCGGGACCCAGAGGCAGCTCCACTCCCCACCCCCAGGCCGGCATACTGCTCGTGTCCGTGTAGGTCGGTGCAGTGCCCACTGAGCAGGCTGCTGCTCGGCATGAAGGACTTGGTGTGTACCTGCCATGGAACTTGCCGTGGCCCTTGTTGCAGTTTTGTACTTTACTTGGTTTTTCAGTGAAGCTTAATCACTGTTTTTTAAAACAAGACTTGAAGCTCGTTTCTAGACCTTTCACAATGTACAGTATTTTACTTACCTGAGCTGTATTAAAATTGTGTTCATTTACTTCCCAGGGCCCTGGTTCTATTTTTAGTCGCTTTAGAAATCTGACAAGCCTGGTTTTTGTAACTCTTTTGCTTGGGGGAGGGGTGCTCTTGTACTCAGTGGTCAGTTTACCAGAGTCCACAGCACCGTCAGCCCCTGCTGCCGCCCTTCTGTCAACCTGTTCACGTGATGTGGGATTTTAGTTTTGAGTCCTGTGTGAAGTAATTCCAAGGCTAAGAGGCAATTTACTTATGAAATTTATTTTCTGATATATAAATTATGCTTTTCTCTGGGCAGATAGCGTTCCCCTTATTGCACTAATAGCACATCTGTAATACCAAGCTACAGGACAGGTGTCAAGAGGTTCGTACTCTTCAGTGTAGCACTGGTCTGCCAGGCACTGTGGGGAGGGGGCCCCGCAAAGCCAGGGTCCCTCAGGGTGAAGAATTAGGAAGGAACAACTTGATACTGTTCTGACAGGTGCTTTTCTCCCAGAAGGGGAACATGCAAAGCTTACATCCTGGTTCTGGGCGTGGGGAAGAGCAGGAGGGCTGAGAAGCCCAATGCAACACCTCAGCTCCACTCCCCTTCTCTGAGGGAAGAGGGGATTCATTTTTCTCTCGTTTGTAGCAAATCTTTCTGGCTTAGCTGATGCTTTGCAGAAACGATGAGGATGAGGTCATCAGAATTTAGCAGCAGTTGAGATCATTGCCACAGTATGCTTAGTATGCTCAGATGTCCCTATGCCCACTAATTAGCGAAGTTCTGATGCTGGATCTTCTGACCACTGGTCAAGGCTGTAATGAGACCGAGTCTGCAGGCAGAGTGACGGGGATGGCCAGGGGAAGAAAGGTAGGGGGGCCACAAGGGGGCGGGGGATGAGCAGTGATTGTAACATGATTGGGCCCTCTGCAGACAGAGGCTGGACTGGACAGGGGCGGGGTGAGGAGGAGCTGCATAGTCCAGGAGCTCCCCACACTCTGCCTTCGCACTACACTGGAGACAAGTTGCTCACACTCTAAAGCACGTTCTTGATACAGGAACAGGGACTTTGGGGGGAAGCAGTGATTTGGTATTGGGCAAGAGCATGTCAAGCCTTCATGAGAGCAGCCACCACAGCCTTGGCGTTGAGACTACGCAGGTCACAGTAGGTCTGGCCAGTGCCCACAAACACGATGGGTTTGCTTGTGATGTAGGTCATAGAAATAGCAGCTCCCACCTGACGTGGAAAAAGGGGTACCCAGTCAACTCAAGGACCTTCCGTTCACTCCCCAGTACAGGAAGCTCTGTAGCAAACAGGGCCTCAGCTCCCCTGTAGAGGATGGCCGTTCCCTGCCCTCCCAGTAACACTCGTATTTACCTTGTCATCAATGGTATCAAATTTGGTAAGGACAATGCCATCAATGAGCCGAGGTGTTTGAGCCATAGAATGGTCAGCCAAGGCTCTGTTGAACTTGACCTGGAAAGAAGTGGGATGTAAATGTAAAAAGCACCTAACTGGCTAAAGCTGAGGTTGGGGAGAACCATGCCATAGCCCTCACCAGTTGATCCACGGCCTCGTTGCCTACTAAGGCCTCCCCCACAAACAGCACCAAGTCAGGCGTGTTGACAGTAATGAGCTTGGCCAGGGCAGCCATCAGAGGGGCATTGTCTTGCATGCGACCGGCTGTGTCCACCAGCACCACATCAAAGCCTTGATTACGTGCTAGAGAGAGAGAAATGGTTGACTAAAAACTCCTGGGCTGTCACACGAATTTCCAGCTTTCTCTCAAGAAGTCCTGGCCTGACAACATTAAAAGTCTACCAGTTTACTTTCTTGGGCTCTGGGTATGATCACAAGGTAGCAGGAGAAGAAAAACCTATTTTATGCTCAGCTCTCCAGGCAGTCAGGAAAAGGACAGCAATTCATGGAGGGGACCAAATATAGAGGTTTCTTCTGGGGGAATATAGTAGCTTTGCTTGCAACTACACTTATCACCCAAAGCGGAGCACGGCAAGTCACCAATCCCGACTTGCTACCGAGCAGCCTGTCGGTAGTAGAGCAGCCCTGACACTCAGCATACTTTAAGCGAACCCAAGGAGGAAAGGGGCCCAGACCAGGTTCCCACACATGGCGTGCACTGTACCAAAGGCAATAGCTTCCATGGCGATGCCAGCGGCATCCTTGCCATAGCCCTTCTCGAACAAGTGCACCATGGTGCGACCACCGTGACTCTCGGGGGGGTGCAGGGCACTCAAACGTCGGGTGTGTGTGCGCAGCTGCTCCACAGCCCCGGCACGAAATGTGTCACAGGCAGCAATGAGGACACTGAAGCCATTCTCTAACAGCCAGAAAGAAATCTGCAAGACAGGCAAAGGAAACTGTTACCTCGAACCAGAGCTGCTAAGACAGTGAAGAAATGTCAAACAGGTGGGGAACTGCACTGACCTTAGCAAGGTTCGTAGACTTCCCCACTCCGTTAACGCCACAGAAGGTGACAACATAAGGGCGCTGATGACGCTGGGCATCCATGATATCCCGGAGCATGTCCACACGCCGCTGTGGCTGCAGAATCTGCACCAGGGACTCTTGGAGGGCCTGCTTCACTGTGGAAGTCACCGCTGGAAGGGGGAGGAGGCAGCCATGAGCCCCAAAGAGTGCACTTCACAAGCACCCACCAGCTTTCTGTGCTAAGGAAACTTGAATCTGGGTGCTCACATGACCAGGCCCTCGCCATAGGAATCCACCCCGTATCTGAGACTGTGCTAGTAAATACTTTACAAGCATTAGTAGAGGTTTAGAGCTTAAGGGATTTGGTGAAAGTCAGGGTGGTCAATGCACCTGAACTCCTGGTGTACATCACACCCCCCATACGCTTTGCTTTAGGGTGATACTCACTGCTGAACGTCCCCATCACCTTCCCTTCCAGCTTGTTGGCCACGGACTCACAGAGCTGGACTGCAATGTCTGCTGCTACATTCTTTGCTGCAGAGGGGGCAGCACGTGCGGTGTGAGTGCCTTGTCGACAGTCAACGACCCGCGTGGTACAACCGAGAAACTAGTTTGTCCTGTTCTCCACCATCCCTCCCCCACCAACAGGAGCCCGCCCCCCTGCTCCTCAGAACTCACCGATGAGATGATCACGCATCTTGTCCAACACAGATTCCATATCTTCACGACTCAAGCTCTTGGAGCCCACAAGGCCCTTCAGCATCCCAAACATGCCACCCAGAGTCCCCTTGGTAGCACTGCAGGCACAGGAGAGTGGGCGGAGTCAAGTCTCACCTACTCTGGAGCCACACATACCCCCCACCACCTGCGATTTCCTACCTAGGCTTGGTAGGGTTTTGAGCGGCGCCCTCATCGTCTGAGCTGCTGCAGTCCAGATCCTGAAGCTGCCCCCCAGGCCCAGTCCCTCGAATCTGCAGGGTACAGGGAAAGGAAGCAGATAGGATTAGGCAAACTAATGGTTCTGAGGGAGGGGGGAAAAAATGCAGGATTTATTGCTCTGTCCCCTCAAAGAAATCAAAGGCACTGCCCTCCTCCTCTCTACTTCCTCCCACGTTATTTTTAATGGCGACCTTCACTCTGGCCCTTGTTGACTCTTACCAAGTTGATGTCCTCAGGCGGGACGACCTCTGGTGCTCCATTGGTGGTAGGAGCACTGTAATCCAGGTCTTCCTTGTTAGCACAGCCACCCAGCACCCACACCCGAGGTGCTTTCTTGCCCTTCTCCTTTGGAGCATCGGACTTCGTGGACTTGCTGAAAGGGTTACAGCACAGAAGGTTACGGTGGAGAAGCAGGAGAGAAAACATCCAAGAACCACAGACAAGAATGCCCTTGCCCCCAACATGGCTGGATTACAGCAAAGGTTAGAAAGCTCACCTGGACTTCTCCATACCCTTCCCATGTTTCTGGATGAACTCCTCTCGCTTCCTCCGTATCAGCTCTTCTTTGGAAAGTTCTACCCCGTTCTCAGCCCCCACTGACTTCTCTGCAGAGGCTGTTTTGCTGGTAGCCAAAGGGACATCAACACCTGTTAGGAGAAAAAGGACCCGATTCTAACAATATAGACAATAGGGATAACATCTTCCAAATCCTTAAAGAGGACACCAGCACAAACAGCTTGGGGCCCACAAGGACCGGGGATGACAGCAAGGGTGGTGGGCATTTGAGTGAGGGAGACAGGCAATCACAAAGAGAAGGACAGGGAACCCCTTCAGTCCTTGGTACCACGTCAACTTTTCATGGCCTGTGTGTCCAAGGAGCTCAAACTAACCTTCCTTCTTGGCCCCCTTGGTTTTTTTATTCTTTGCTTTCTCCTTAGGCTTTTCACCCCGTGTCTCAATCATGGATCTTACAGGTTTCTTGGCCTTTTCAGAATCTTCATATTTCTTCATAGTAGTTGGAACCCGGACCTTACTGCTCTCCTCTGCTTCACTAAAGAGAAAGAGAACGGCTGAAGTCCAGAGAAAGGACCCTCACACCGTAAGGGTAGTTTTGAACTTCGCAGCAAATTTAGAAGCATCTTCCAATAAACAGTTTACTTTCGATAAGTAGCCTCAGGAAGGGAGGGGAGCTCAACAAGTCACGGAAATTGATTTTGGAGAGGGGAGGCCTCTCACCGAAGGAGCTGCAGAAAGTCATTTTGGAAATCGAAAGTGCCATTCAGTAGACTCAAAGCACTTTGCTGTTGGA